TCCATGAAGACAAATTTAAAATGGTTATACCAAGTAGAACTGCTTAGAATAACACAGTCATCAGTATGTTGTCTGTCCATGTTTTCATATTGCGGTGTGTAATTGCAGCTTTCATTCTTTTAATTTTAGACTTGGGAACTAACCCTGTTTCAATTATAAGTCACTTTCAAAGAAAAAAGTTTTTTTTTTTTTTTTAATGTTTCTACTTCAATCATTTATAAAGGCAACTTGCAACATGTTAGTATTGAAAATATAAGTGCTCATGCTCATGTGTCTACACTCAAATGGCTGTAAAATCAGTATTAACTATCCCAGTTATACAGTTTGTTATAGATTTGTCAAAAATCAGACCCTTGACCTCTCTGACTGAAATTCTTCAGGCGTTGTTGAAAAACATATGATGCATTAGACCTTTAAAATAAAATCCTGTATGTCATTACTTTTAAAGGTAAAGCATCCATGTTGCCATACAATAACTTTATCAAGAGACAACCTGCAAGATTAGTGTCTTAATGTGGCAATACATTCAGTGCATAAGGGAGTCCAACAACAAAATAGTTTTATTGTTTGTGGGATCTGGTCACAAGATGAGAAACAAACACTACATATCATCTGTCTCAAAGCATCTAATCTGAACAGAAAAATATTGCTAGGTCATAGCTGCCAGCTTGTTCTATGATATGGCTCCATCTAGTGGTCATTATTGGACTCTCACCCAGATTCCTCACATAAATAAAACAAAATAACATTAAAAAAGACGAGCAACATCAGATTCAGCCACCCTGTTAGTGATACAATGCCAGGATGAACAAGCAAAGAAGACAAAACAAGCTGAGGGAAGAATAGATGTGAAAGAGAACACGAGGGAGATACATAACAGGTTTGATGTCACCTTTGGGACCTTAAATAAAGTTGACATGATCAGGTTTCACCATGGCAACCATATGTCACAAGTGTATCAACCATATGTCACCAGTGTATTGCACTATGAAAGCATGCATATAGACACCACACACACTCCCACACACAACAGGTAGGGGTAATGAACGTAGTGCTGCTGATGATATTTATCATCTTTTGTTTATTTTTATTCTATTCAGCATTATCAAGGACACAGCAGGCTCACAGAGATAAAACTGAATAGATGTGCTTTTGGGAGGCACAGCTGTGTATACATCCCTGTTATCACTGCATCTTAAATACAGAACGCCCCATTAGCTGCAATCAGAGCAGAAGACTAACAGGGAGTGAACTGAGCCGAAGCACTCACCATGCTACAGTTTACTAGAATAACTTAACTGACAGTGGCTTGATAAAACAAAAAGAGAAAGAATGAGTGAACAAGAAAGGAAGAGAGGAGGGGTTCACCCGAGAGGAATCATGTACAGACATCAACTGAGCTATATTGTTCATGGCTACACAAGGGACACAAGAGCACACAATTCCCAGACAATAGTGCATGTACATTGCACACATGCACGCACAGAGCAGTGAGACATCACGCCCTCCCCTCCACCACTGTTCTACTTTATGATGTTTCCATTCATTTTCTTTGCCTTTTAAATCCAATTCTACTAGATTTAACTTCCATTTAAAAGTCCAAAAGCTTTCATAGCGGTGCAATTCAAACACATAGATAATAACATCATCGATAAAATTAAGTGAGGATTTTCAGTCATTAACTTCAGCATTATTCAGCAGTGAGCTTCACTTTCATACTGGCAAGTCTAGTCATTGTAGGCTTATGCATAATTAAAATGTACATCTTCAGATTTTGTGCCTGTCTTCATGTATTCATAATGTGTGTCTCTAAAGATGAGACAAGTTTTTCAGCCCACACTGGCCTAAATTCGTACCACTACAGCAAGAATTGAGCTCCAAATGCAGGTCAGTCTCTTCCCAAATGAGGGACTTTCTGGATGTTCAGGGGTTTTGGAGAACAGGAAGTTCACTGCACATCAAAGATGTTCTAGTTAAGACATAAAACAGATGATTAAGCCAACTAAAATTAGACCAGAAGCTGAAAACGATCCCACGGCACTGGTTGGCTTCCCAGTTTTTTTCCCACGGGGAGGACCCCAACCCCCATCTGCCTTAACACAAACACAGATGAATGCAGGCTTTTAAAAATGGAGATATAAAGCATCACTGGGATCAGCTGGGAGGACATAGTGAAAGGGCTCACTTTCTGCTACAAAGGATTAGAGAAAAAAAGAAGAGGGAGCGTGGCGGTTAAGTGCTTTTAAGCTCTGACGAATGCCTCAGTTACAACATCTTCAGGCTTCAGACAGCTGCAGTTCATACATCACACAGTACTTTATGGATGTCAAACACACTGCATGAACACGGCAGGAAGCAGTGGTACCCGCTCAAACAGAAAGAAACTGTACAGCTTGTATGATTAAAATACCACTTTAAAATCAGGGTCACAGCTACATAATTAATAGCAGGAATTATCTCTTCTGCTGTTGTTACTACAAAAGCTGCTGCTAAAATGTCAAAACCAACGAAAAGAAGGCTTGTACACTGCCTTCATTTTAGGCATGTGACCTGATCAGCTCATGCTCATTACGTTAGCCTCTCTGCTAATGTCATCAGCTTTCCCACTCTGTCTCTTCCCTCAGATTTGAATATCTAAATAGTATTCAAAACTGTACAACAGGAGAGGCTGTGTAACGTGCAGCCAGATGGAAGGAAGCATCAAGGTCTCAGCACTGCCCTTCAACCCTTTATCTCCCACTCCTCTTCCCCTCCCCAATACAGAAGCACTGAGTTCATACAAACAAGACAACAAAAACTCAAGTATCAAAGGGCGAAATCGATCTGCTGTCCATGATCAATTCACTCAGCTTTTTTGGAACGTCTCTGACTGTTTAGGTTTCCCTTTGTCATCAAGACCTTTGCAGACAAAAACATACAAACAATGAAGCATCTTGTCTTACATGCTGCTCTTCTTCCGCGGAGAGCTGACGGAGCCCTTCCTGTGCTGGCTGAGGGAGCCCCCCATGGCAACGGCCGAGTCCCTTTTTCTCAGGTTTATCCCAGATGCTGCGTATGTCCTCTTCACCTCCCAAGGTTCACCTCTGCCTCTCCTCCAGACAGCTTGGCTCAACGGCAGAGCCCCACACTACACTGCATATCATCACCGACTTGTTATTATTTAACCAACCGATCCTTGTCTTTTTCTCTTTCGCGGTCTCTGCTGATGCTGTACAGTCTAAATGCTCAGGAGTAGCCTACTACTGATCACACATGAATAGCTCTGCTGACAGTCCCGCCTCCTCGCTCCACTTCTCCTTAACCCCCCAAATCTCTCTCTCTCTCCCTCACACACACACCAGAAGCAGATTACACTCACTTGTCAGGCAGTGGATAGGAGAAAGGAGAAAGACAGAGAGATGGAGTTATGTGTGTGAGAGATTTTTTTTTTAAAGACCACTAAATCCAAGGATTTGGAGGGGGTAGGTGGACGGGCAGTGTGTGCGTGTGTCAGTGTGTCATTGGGGGTATCTGGCAGGGGTGAGAGTATTGTTCAAGCGTGAAAGAGTCTCTTCTATTGTTAGTCAGCTGAATAGCAGAGAGCTGAGATCCAGGGGGAGGGATGGAAGATGATGGAGGGAGAGTTGGCGGCATAAAACACAGCCCCACTTGTTGTGCCACATTCCCACTACCTGCTGTGACCCAGCCCCATTCGAGTTTCAGCATGACAATACACACACACACGCGCGCATGCACACACTGTCAGCGCTCAGGCTTGTTTGCATACATTCATTTCTTAAGCTCATCACTGTATTTTGAACTCTTACTTTAAAACTCTGGGTGGTGCTGGTGCAGTGGATAAGACTGTGCCTTAGGTATGAAAGATCTGGATTCAACTCCCCACTGTAACACATCCACCAATGTGTTACAGAGCAAGACAGAATAAATAAAACAACACACTCCAAAACTTGTGAAAAGGTATAGTTAGACAATGTTTAACCAACAGTGAAAGAGAAAACCTGGGTATGTAAATCATTAGTGCATTCATTATATTGAGTGTCAATACAGCAGAGTCTCAAAATGATTAAAGAGGGAAATCATACCCCCTGATTGAAACCTCTCCCGTCCATTAAGTCTTATTTCATCAAATAAAAAATGGCTAAAAACCCCTCAGCGCTCTGGTGGGTCAGGCTGTGGCTCCTGCAGGACAGGGTCACCTTTGACAATAACTGATAGGCTTTAGTGCATAACTTCCTCCCACTGAAATTAATCACATGAGGCTCACTCACTATGGAGGTCCTAATTTCTTCACACACAGTGGGCACAACCACACGCAAAGCGCACAAGGGCGTGGCATTGAGAGAAATATCATTTACAGCGACTCATGGTATGAATGTGCAACTTTTATAGTCAGTACAGTCCCCTTTCCGTTTACTCTGGTCCCTCTACATACATGAACAAGTATAGCTACAATATAGCCCTGATGCATAGCTTAAAATCAAACGCCAAAACCAACTAGTTCAACTTGCCTCATGGTTAGTGTCCAAGGTTGCCAGTCAATTCAACCGCTGCAAGTGATGCTGTTTTCCTCAAGACTGCGCATGCTCGCGTAATTGACCATAGTAACGCGTTGTACACGGTTATACCGCTCTTACGTGGATGCTCTTCCTGTTAAACCAGCCTCCCTGTTTGCTTATGCACTATTATTACTTTATGAATTATCCTATTTGATTTCGAAGAAGCTCAATATGCTCTGCTTCAGTTTTCTTAGGCTATGGATAAGGTCATATATCAACGTGATAAAAGCCCTAAAAAATTGCAGATTAATTTATTGGTTTCAAATTTATAAGCATGCTTCACTGAAATCCAAAGAATACAACACACATGTAATGTTTTATTATGGCACATACAATATGTAACCATATTCATAGGTATGTTTTCAGAAAGGAGAACATTTGTTTTGTTTTGTTTTTTTGGTATGTATCAACATACTAGTATCAAGTGCAAAAAAATAAGTTGTCTTTAGGAAGAGGAAGCCAGGGACCATGGCGTCTTGTTTTATTGTACAGATGCAAAAAATGACAGAAAAGATGGTGAGGTTCAAGGAAACGGCTACATGATCATTTAATATTCAGTGCACTTCAAAAGGAAGAAAAATTAACGCCACCATTAGGTTAATTCATCTGTTGTGCGGATGTTACACCCAGCGGTCAGGTCATTCAGAGCTTTGGCCAGTGCATAACATATGAGTCATTTATAAAGTTAAATCACTCTAACACAGTATCGACGTTGTAGTCCATGTTGCTTAATATGACGGTGCAGACATGTGAAATTTATAACATGGATATATTTATATTTCTTTCATACGTATGTATATAAAATAAATTAATTTGCTTTGAAACATAAGTTCTATATAATCTATTGATCATGCTCATTAAATCAAATTCATGTGATCTCAACATGAAAACTCTCTTATTAATGGTTCTGCGACCACAAAATGTTAAGAAACCCTGCTCTTACATAACAAAGAAGTGCATGCAAGACAGATTGAAAAGATAATCTTACAATAACTTGATAAAAAGGAACAGATGAGAGAAACCTGTACCATGTCACCCTTAGATTATGCAATAGTTAGAACTATGTGACAGGAGAAGTCTGTATCGGAATAAAGAACATATTGCCGCTACTTACAGAATTCCATAAGGATACATTTTGGGTCAAATGCAAAATAGCAGAAATAAGAAAGTTGTAAAGGAATGGCACAGACCTGCGGGAGATTATGTGTGTGCGCACACACACGCACGCACACAGAGAAAAGACAACCAGCTCGACGTGCAGTTCTCTACTTCATTTCTGACACAAAAACCTTCATTACTTATTTTAGATACATGTGTACATGCGACCAAACTGAAATACATATTATGAGTGAAATATAAATATGATTAGAAGGCAAGATGAACATTCACTTTCAATAACGGTGTCAGAACAGGACTTCATCTGTGAAATGAAAAAAGGAGCGACATCAACATTATAGCAGTTGTAGCAGCTTTGTAGGTTTCAAATAGCCCTAATGTTGACAGAAAGAAAATAAATCTGCCCAGAGGACTCTTAAAAGACTTCATTTTCCTAATCAGAAAGTAAACATTTTATAGTCAAACCAAAGGTAACCACATGACCCAGTCATTTATAAAGGTAATGTTAAGCTAACGGAGAGCTTACTTGGTCAAGAGAGATCAAACTTTAAACAGTCTGACTTTTGGAAGCTGCACATAGAGCTGGAAAATATATGTAATATATTGATTACAATCTACTATTTTAAATATATTCTTGATGTCAAATACATGGAAATGCAACTGAGAACTTGATGTGTTTTTCCATACTTAAACAAGCGCTGCATAGTTAAACATGATACTCATTGCTTTCAATATTATATGATATGTCAACAACTGCTGGTAAATAAAAGTGCAAAGTAAATTAAATAAAGAATGACTCAAAATGGACAGAAATGTGCAACCAGGAACATAACAGTGATGTTTGGGTGGACTGTGAAACCACTGTCAGACACCCAACCCGGTCGTGCAGTGGGAGTTTAGGCAGCACCATGAAGCCAAATTAAGGTTGACTGACATGTCTGAACCAAGATCACCACGCTGCAGCCAAACAGTCTCCACTGTCAAGGGAGGAGAGGGTGGGGTAGTCTGGTAACAGCCAGATGGTAAGGCATTCTGGAAGATTGGCTGTCCTTGATTTTATCACTTCCACGTTACTGTCATGATAAAAAAACAAAAACAATTCTACATTTATAACACTTTATCACTGTTGTGGCTGTTCAAAGGCCACACCTAGCTTGTCGTAGATCTCCTTCAGTAGCAGGAGAGCTGTATCCTCAGATTCCCTGACAGACAGAAAGGCAGAGAGTAAAATGTAAAAAAGTAAAATGTGATACAATACAAAATGCAAAAGAGCAGAATTAACGTAGTCCATATGTCTACAGCGTGTTACAGGCATGACTCACCAGTAACACAGATGAGACTGGATGGCAAACAGATATTCATTGAAGCTCTCGATGGGTTTTTCCTGAAGTACATAGTCAATCCTTCGTCCTCCATTCAGCATCCCCACTTTAATCTCAGGCTGTTCTGTCTGCTCTACTGACCCTGAGGCATCTGACTCCTCAAACACTCCTGCAAAGACAGAAGTAAAAAAAAAAGAAAAAGAGAAATGGATAAGGCTGTACAGGCAGACACCAGACAACAGAAACACTGATAACAACTATTTGTTTTGACTCACACTTTTTGGTAAAATGAGAACAGATCAGATAATCGACAGCAACAATCAAACCTACGTAAGGGAATCAAACTTAGATTAGTCTACAACCAAGTGTCCTATATCTACCCCAGAGATGAGCGAGTGGCTGAATGTTGCAAGAATATTCTTTGGCGATAGCAGCACCACGGACGGACAAGGTTTGCTCAAACACATCCCTAAGATTAAACGTGTTCTGCCTCTACTGACCAGTTAAATGAACATTGAACATGTACTGTAAAGTATGTCATCCTGAATAATTACAAGGTCTCACAAATATTGCGGGCAATATGTAGCTTCATGATTTCTCTGCATTGGACAACATGCATTATGCTCACATTATTTATAATTTGATTTGCAATTCAGTCAGCATCCATCACTACATTAGCTATCCTGACTCAGCAATCATCTGCCTTCAACAAGAATATATTAAGAGATGATTTGAAGAGTTTAAAACAAATCGGAAAAGTTGTGTACTGCTTTTATAGGTAAGTACTGGTTTACCATCAGTTGTAATTTTAGTTGTAACCCATTGTGAGCTTGTGACATGAAGGTGTGCTAATTTCGTTGCTCAGGAGGAGTTTTTGGATATAGTAATTGGATATATTACCCTGATGGACCCAGATGAAACTATGGTCTTTTAATTCTGACATAAAAAAGATAATAATCTTACTCTCAAATTACACTGTATCATGTGCTAAAGAGTATCATGTCTGGTATCTTGCATCACTATACTTATACAACAAATGAAGGTTATAAGGGCTGTAAATAAAAAGCTATGAGTCCTCTTTAATAGATAAAGACTGAAAAGTAACAGCGGCTCATTTTATGAATTACTTGAGGTGCTGTAGAAAAGAGCACGACATGTATCTGCATGCAGCTACTGTAGGTACCCTGCTATTGATGAATTATCTCACCGGCTGGATGAGGCCCAGCCAATATCTGTTATTAAAAAAAAAACAACTGTTATCACTACTATCCAACTTGGCCTACTTGTTCTGCGGAAATGAGATTGTGTCATGGGCAGGTTACTCAAGTGGCTTCTGATACGGACGATCAGAGAAAACAGTCAGTTAATTCAACCAATCAGAGCTGCCAGCGGGGGTGAGGGACATCTTATGGAGATGTCGATAAATTCAATGTTGAGATGAAGATTATGTGTAGAGCTGTAGTAGTGCAGTTAGGTAGGGCGAAAGGAGGAGCAGAGCAGTGAGAGCCTGCGGCAAAAATGACATACATTACATAACATTTGCTCTTTATGAGGGAGCTGACGTGCCAAAGTAAACCAAAGTAATTGCATACTGTTTTTAAGCAGGTAGAGCAGCATTATATTAACCATTAAAACAGGTTATAAAAGTATTTCACTTGGCACTCTTTTGTGCATGTTTATTTTCCAGGGAAGACGCAGAATGACAGTTCATTTAAGGTCGTAGGCTTTTTCTGAATCAGGAAAGTATACAGAGAAACCCAGATTGCAAAGCTTCTAGTAAGCTAAAAAGACTGACTGACTACCCTGGCTTACCTTGGAAGTAATTCTTATGAAGGGCCCATGGCCACTCCAGTATTTTAGTCCAAAAATCAGCACTTTTCTCTTCCCTCTTAGCAGAAACAGTGACTGCCGCTGAGGCTGAGGTTCAAGATAAAGTGGTAAGAGGAAGCACGACCAACCACCAGATAGGGCAGAAGAGGGGAGGGGAGGGGAGGATGGCAACATGCAGAGAGGGGTAAGAGGAGTATGAAGAGACTGGGTTAGACATACTCTTGTGCACGTTCACAAACAACATCCACAAATACACCACATACCATGTGTCTCTTGAAGGTCTCTCCTTATTGCGGTTTCTCTCTCTTCCACCGGGGGCAGTGCAGCAACCGGCAGTCTGGAAAAGGACTGCCATGCTGTCCGTAACGATCCCAACACATTGTTTTTCAAATCCATGCTCATACGGGTCAAGCTATCCTTAAGTTCTATTGGGCAAACAGAAGCAGAGATTATCATTAAGCCTACAAAGCAAAAAGCCCGTACCGAAATATTGTTCCACAAAGACAAGTAGGAAGAAACAGACAGCCATACCCAGGTGCATCCTCTTGCGGCCTTTATGGTGAGGGATCAGCATGGGCTCCAGATCCTCCTCTGACACAATCATTGGTTCAATCCGATAGGCCACAGGGTCATACTACACAGTAATCAAGGGGAAGCGATGAATGTAACTTTCAATAGATTAACCCTTTTGTCATGTAAGAAGAGATGTGCAGTTCTATTGATGTCAAAAGTTAGACTAGACCAGTGGCTGCGACCAAGATTACTGTATATTTAAACTAATTACACAGTGGTGAAACTGCTACTAGTATTCCTGTCATTATGTTGATTCAATGCTGCAGTTACATCTGTCAGCATGGCTCTAACCATTGATGTGCAGGTCCACAATGCAAACAAAATCCGGAAACATTCAGAACCTCCCTGTTAATGTCTCTTTGGGACAGAAAACAAAGTCAAATTGTAGTTGTAGCATCTGAAAGCAGGTGTTTTCCCTTTTGGGAGCTGAGCGCAAGATGTGTGCCTGAATGGGCAGATGCAGTAAATATATGATTACTCACCGGGTGGTAGATGTTGTAAAACCTCTTGCAGGTTGGGAAGCTGTAGTTGGGATCAATGTGTTTAAGCCCACGAACGGTCAGGAACATTCCAATAGGAGAGCCGAAAGCAAAAAAGGTATGAGGGTGGAAAGCCAGTTGTGGGTAATCAATGGACACCTGTGGGGTCAGTGTGAAACAAAAAATGTTTCTGTGATAAGAAGACAAATTATTCTATTCATGGAGATGGAAATTGGTGAACACTTCTCTGGTGCACAGTGGTTCTACATTAAAACTACATTTCAAGCCATCAAAACAATAGCCAGGGAGTATGACAGCAGGTATGGAGGAGACCAAGGATATGACCACTCATGCAGGACTGGATGAGCACAGATGCAGATTGTGGTATTGGGTTTTATGACTCAATGGGACAAAGACGGTAGCCTCAATAACGGCACAATGTAAGAAACCCTAATGCTCCTAAAATAGCCACTATAATTGAATCGCCTTGAATTTTCCCTGATTGGACCAGGCTGTATGTGAAGAAAAACTCCAGGCACAGAGAGATCAAACAGAGCTAAGGATAAAGCCTGAGAGCATGGGGACACCATGCGAGACACACCTGTCCCTTGGCTATGCCTCCATTGGTCTGTCCAGGCAAGCGGGGGGAGGAGAGAAGCAGGAAGGTGATGCATCAAAGCTTTTATATACTTGTACCCCCGAGCACAAGTTATCATGTCCGTGTGTGGTACCTGTCCGATGCCCATGTCAAAGTATTCGTAGTCTACAGCACTGGTGACGGACTGCGCCCTGTGGAACTGGGACTGCTGCATTGTCAATCCTGAGGTCTGGTTACCATCATAATCACTGGTCATTTGAAGTGGAACTTGCAACCCTGGAACCAGACGTCCTGCCCCCGTCTTACAGTCCTATAAAGATTGAGAAACAATCTGCACTGTAGATACTTTATATGGTTATTATTTGGAAAGAGAGCCCTCTAGCAAAAGAGGAACTGGCCTTGAACGAAACAGCCTGCTTCCCACTAAATAGTTTGATCCTCTCTTTGGAATGTGAAAATACATATATAAACATGCCACATGGCCAGTATCAATCAAACAATCCACATCAAAGGTTGTTAAGACACAAAGGGAAAATTATATAAATATATGTAGTCATTAAGTTTTCTTCACAAAAAAATTTGCATATCATTGTGTGGCCTTGATGTGGACAGTGAGGGTATATTAATGCCAAGCAGGAAAACAATCCAATACATTTCATCTAAATATTGTCCAGATCCACAAAACATTTCAACAAAAAGGGTTTCTAGGGGTCATATGCGCCAAAACAAGCCAGTATAGTTTCTATGTTATTTCTATAATAGTTTCTATTCTAGATTATATGTCTGACCTCTGGCAGCCATTTCCTCTTCACGTAGTTCAGGATCTTCTTCCGAGGTCCAAGAGGAATTCCTAAATCTTTGAGATCACTGTCTTGGCAAAGAGCCTAAAAGAGTAGATCAATATGTTTATAACTACGCATTACACTTTGTATATAAATGTCCATTGTGTGTTTGTGTGCGTGTATTACAAGTGATTCCAGATCTAGGTTTTCTGCCTGTAGTATATCCAGGAACTGCTGCAAGCCCAGTCTAGTCAGAATCTGCTCCAGTGTATCACAGTTCAGATGTGAAGGTGCTTCAGAGGGCACCTGAAGCACAGGGAGGGACAGATGGGGAGACTGATTTTCTTTTCCATCTGTAGGGAAATATGCAATCTTTTCATTGTTTACTGTGAATGTGATCATACCCCCTTTCTGACTTCTGATCCAGTCCTCTGATTGGTCAGCAGGTCAAACAGGATCAGCGAACCTGCGCAACGAGAGACAAAGGGAAGAGTTGAAATTCAGCTTTTTAATGAATTGTGACTGTGTCTGTTTCTGTATGTCTTACCTAGGCTATGGCCTACTACTGAAACTGCCCCATTGAACTCTGGGTGTCTCTGTTTAAAGAGAGTGTGCAGCCTGTTGATCTCTGAGGCCACTGTGTCCACTATGGTTTGGCAGTACGTGGGGCTGTTATAGAAAAACAGGTCCAGCAGAGTGTCATTTGTGAAATGTCTTAGCCTGCTGATGCTGGGTAGAGTGATCCTCTGGATGTCCCTGGATAGTGGGGGAATAAGGGAGAATATAAAAGGGAGGAAAGACAGACTTTGGCAATTTTCTGCAAGAATTGCGAAACAGTAGTCTCTGTTGTCAAACAAAGAAATCTTGTTTCGCCCGCTCTCTATCTCTCTCCATACTTACTCGTCCACACCAGTGGCATCTCCGTGTAGAGCGCTGTGCCAGTTGACTGGGAGGAACTCCACTCTTCCTACCTGGCCGTCCTGCTGAGCACGCTTATAATGAGAGGCCAGGAGGGACAGGGAAGCACTCCTGAAGTCATTTACTGGAGAGAGACAAGAAGAAAGGAGTCATACATACATATAAATATATGCATAGAATACACACACACACACCCAAACTCACACTTACCACACTGTATGATGGATCTAAAGCGCAAGTCACATGCAGGACCGATGCCATGGACCATAAAGACAAGGTGGTCCACCTTTTCTGGTTCACCTGGGAACAAAGAAATATGAGCAAACTAAGTGTCAACTGTAAATGGACTTATATTCCAGTATATCTCTTACTGGTACATCCACATACATACCATCGGGTATTTCTACAGAGATGTTGTCCACTCCCCTTTTGACTGTTCGAGGCCGAGTCTGCTCCGAGGGAGAGGACACCCACTCATCCTGAAATCCTATTGGCTGGTACTGCATTATCAGCTGAGAGAAGAGCAGGGAAACGGAAGAGAAGACGCTTATGAGAAAGAAACAATGTGCCCAATTAAAAAAATAACACTCAGAAAACACATGTTGTGGCCTTACCTTGGGATTGTGTAAGATGACAGTTTCTCCAGTGGGAAACTCCAGCTTCCTCTTCCATTCGTCCAAAGTCATTGCTATCATATAGGCCTCCTGAAAAATTTTAAGATGGCAGGAATAAGAATCAATTCATATATGAAAAGATTAACTAAGGAACAGGCATAGATAGGAAAAGGATAAAGTCAGACATTGAAGCAATGAGCAGTGTGATTGTAAGGGTTGGGCATCTGCGTCAGAATACCTCCAGGTTTTTACTGAAGTCCTCAGGGTAAGGCATGAACCTGGTGTCTTTATCTCCTTTATAGAACCAGGTACAGCGTCGGACTTCAGTGGGAGCTTGCTCCCAGTAAACAGCGTAGCGCTTCCTCTCCTTGACTCGTACGTCATAACGGTCTCCATCCACAGCCACCACCTCCTCCTCCTTCTCTCCTACTGCACCGTTAACACGCACGTACACAAGCAGATACAAACATGTTTTATGAGTCAATCTTCAAAGACTAGATTTTAAGCTAAGGCTCTATGAGGATGACTAAGTATGCCAGTGCTGTGCTTTATACTGGCAATAGATTTTCAAAAGAATGTGTTCCCTGATGTTAAATGCATGGAGGAAAAAGGCATACAGATTCATTGTTTATGGGGATGTCTAAGGCTACAGTGATTCTGAAAGAATGTTGTTGAATATACAAGCCATGCTTCTTTTCATGCTAAATTCTGTTAATGTTTCAGGTGCTAAACAAGTCACAATGTGCTCTCACCAAATGCAATGCGATTTTAACAAACAGTACTAACATGTTATATCTGTAGTTATCGGTCAAAACAAGTGTGTTCGAAAGCCTCTGACCTGAAAGCTTGCTAACTGCCATAACAAGACAGTGAGGAGGCATACATGATACAGAGTTGCAATAAAGGACATTGGGGTGGAATCAAGCTTTGCAGCTGTGTGGCATGTGCTATAACCAATCGGCTACCAAGAAGCTCCATAGCATGTAACACTATTAACCCGTGCCACAACAGAATGAATTTTGTTTGTTTCTGTCCTGTCTTGTTGTATGTACTTGATTCCGGAAATGAATTGATTTGTGGCACGCTTTTTAAATAACATACCTTTTTAATATTTGGGGGATGGTATCAAGTATTTTCAAGTCAAAGGGCCCAAGTCCAAGTGAAGTCATGAGTCATTGGTGTTAAAGTCCAAGTCATGTGAATATGAATATCACAGATGTCAACTCTGAATAAATGTATGCAACAAAAGGTACTGTGTATCAATCATAACCTGAAACCATCCTGACACTGAACTGGCAACAGTAATGTGTTCACATTTTATTTTCTCACAGCTGTGCACAGCATGCACAGTACATAATGTACATGTAAAGAAAAATACACATGCCTACCAGTGTTAAAGGCATTCTCTAGTTTGTCAGAGTCTTCTCTGCTGAAAGGAAGCCAGGAGGTGGTGTCCTCTGCCCGTCGACAGAAGAACCAGTGAGGCTGCACTTCCTGATAAGGAACTGGGACTGACTCCATGTCAAGCATCTCAAAGGAGGATGCAGAAGAAGGAGAGGCCTCATCCACCACAGGCGACACCTGAAGAAAAATGATGACATCATGGTCAAGACGCTGAATCAATATTTCTTCTTCATGTCAGCAATATTGCTCAGTTACTACGTAAAAAGTAAATGTCTGCTATATACACTATATGCACTATATAGACCTGTGTTTCCTTCTTTAGAAAAGTCCACTGTTCAACTGTGTTGTTTGCAGAATATGGAAATAGAGATGTCTCTGAGCTACAATATGTTTTCTTTCAGTATTAGGCGAGTCTTCTTGTAGTAACAAAAAAAAAGGCCAAACCAATCTGGTCTCTAGGCCAGTGTTGTGTTAAAGTATGTTCACTATTAATTTGTGTTTCCCCTTACCTTGACTTAAAGCCAATCCTAATCCCAGACAGTCATATCTACAATGCCTAAGCATAACTGCCCATAAACTGTGATCCCAATCATGGAGGGCAGCGCTACAGGAAACAGACTTTGACAAAAAACACTGTTACAGCCACACACTAAAATCACACAGGTACCCTCACCTGATGCTCAGGTGTGTTTCCCGTGGCCGCAGTCTGAGTAGGACTGTCAAATTGGTCTTGAGTGTCAACGTTTGGGAAAGCCTGAGATAGACCCCCCTCTTCACCAGGTCTGTATGACATTAGCCTAAGACCTGACCCCAACCCTCAGCTCTGACCTGAGGGGGGCAGGGGGCTATGCAAACGCAGAACCTGTAACAACCCAGCTGCACACAAAATGAGATCACAAATGAGGCTTAATGGCCATCAAACTATTATGCTACATAACATATTACAGCCTGTTAAATTTGCAAGGAACTGACTGGTGATACATGCACCAACTGACATTGACTTGTATGAGAGGATCATATGTGATAACTTTACGGGAAAGATAGATGAACAAGTAACGTTAGCTCACACCAAATCTGCGGTTTAACATAAACTAATCCGGCTCTCAGGATACACTGGCAGCTGTATCATCAGCTGCTGGCCAGCAACGTTTAACGCAATGTAAACAGTCAGGTTAATGTGACAGCTAGCAGTTATGTCACACAATGGATGTATTATGAGTTATGTTAATGTGCGTAAGAACTTCTTGACATTATATTGAACAAGACTAGCTACTGTTCGCAGTTAACAGTTATTTCTCATGTTATTGGCGTGTTTTGAAGAATGCAACAAACACATCCTTGGGTCCAAAGGTTGTTAAACGTTGGCTAAGGTTCATGCTAGCTGAGGTACGATGGCTGGACGGGACACTAGTGTTAAATTAACCGTTTTCACATCCTGTTGGTGTTTTGGACGTTAAGTACTAGTAGCAGTCGTTAGTTAACTTAAACTCACCGACAACTTCACATACAGTTAATGCAGAGGATTTGTATTCGTTGTTTAGCTCGCTATGGCTAGCTCGGCTAGCCAAGGGCAGGCTGCTGTCAAACGCTGCCTAGTTGCAATGTTGTCGGAAATATGACAATTACGAGATTAACGTTCACGGACGACCACAGTAACGACAAAATAAAAGGATCAAACAACTATATTAATACAGAGAGAGAGTTTTATGTGATGCCCGAGAAGTCTAACGATGAGAAGGTAAAATACGGGAACACAGCGTCTAATGCCAACAGAAAAAACATTTCTAGTAAATTAATAAAATCTTACATTTTCTTCAGGTCAGCCTTTCGATGCAACAAGTAATAATGAGTCTGTTAAACGGTAAATCAAAAAAGTTTCCGAAAACATCACCTATGGTGCAAACGAACCGAACCATCATGCAGAAAAAGTTAGATTTACGACGAGCTCTTGAATACAACACTACACAACAGGGGCATCACCAGACCACCTCCCCCAACTGTTAGGCCGATGTCGTCGATTTATTATTTTGGAGAGTTTGTTGTTATTCTGTAGCAAGAAAATGTAAGATTTACCAAACATTGTGGAAGGTAAACAAAATCTAACGTATTTATGATTTAACTGCTGGTTGCTCGTTATAACCGTTGTACATACATTCAGTAGTTGTAAATCCGATGGGTAACGTTAGTTTGGTGTGAATGTTTTGAGCACATGCATACAGGACTTTCCTGTCTTTCAGCTGCGAGTTAACACCTTGGTCTAACATGCTTTAGTTGTTAGATACAATGTCAATCAATATGACATGTCATTCTTCCATACCAAGGAAGTCAATACCTCGTCTGCCAAACACAGAAATTTTATTTGAGTTTGGTTTGGACTGAAATATGCCTAGGAATGTATTAATTGTAGGTGTTTGCTTCTCAACAATGTGAGAGTAACCACGTCATGACTCATAGCCACACCCATTTGTGGCTAGGTTAACTGTATCATGGCTGCAATTTCAGCAAACTGTCTTCTCTATCAGGAGCCAACAATGTAACATAGATAATGCACTCATCACACTTTCACCTTGGATCTGACGCTCATGCCCCCCCTCCTCCCAACTCCCCCCCTTTTACCGTACAAGCTGTTAATGTTTGCACAACATATCCGATTTTTTAGGCACATGTAAATAATTAACTGCCATATTGCACATAGTCTTTATTCTTCTTCTACCACTATATATTTTGTCAATTTCACATTTATTTATATATATGTCTGTTGTTATGCACCAAAGCAAATTATTTGTATGTGTAAAAGCTGCTTGGCAATAAAGCTGATTCTAATTCTGATTACAGGAATATGTGTGGTGTGAAATCTTGAACCACTTGCATAAACAGCTTCACTTAATTAACTATAACATTTGCAACATGAAAAAAGACAAAAGCAGTGAGGTCTGAATGGGGTCAGAGCTATACAAAACACACTTAATTACCACCTCTCCTCCAGGGTTTATGGAGGGGGGAGTGACACATGCCATAGGAGGGACGAGTGAGTAAAGCTAAATTGCAAAGACACACCCAGTCCAACAAAAGTGTGAGATACATGCAGAGTAGTAAGCCTGTGTGAGCAGTCAGAGGGTGTGGCTTTTTTTACTCAGGGAGAGCAGATAAGCTGAGTTTGCTTTGTAGAGAGAGGCAGGAGTCACTCTCCTGAACAGCCAGCGGTTTCCTTTAACTCTGCCAGGCTCACAAACAGTCCAGCTGCACATTTCCACTCACTCTCCCCCTCTCGTGGGCATTCTTCCAGCAGTCTGAAGCAAGACTTTAAGGGGAAGCAAAGCACAGAGGAGAAAAGACACAAGAGGACAGCTCAAGAAAAAACGTCGACACACAGCAATGAAGGACAAAGTGAAGAGAGGAGGAGGAAGAAGTCAGGCCAAGGCTGGTGAGAAATACCTGTGTTGTGTTTGTCTTTTCTGCTCCTCTATCCCTGTCTGTATTGTGCATTTTCTTCTTCCTTCTTTTTTTTGTCTGGTGCCTCCCTCCGTAGAGAATGTGAGGTGGGTGGGAGATTTAGCACTGCACTGCTGCTCTGAACATGGCTGGTGCTCTTCTCTGCTTTCACCAACTTTTTGACCATTTGGACAGTCTGCTTCACACTTTTAACTTTTATGGTATATGTATTCACATGCTGAAATCAATCTGAAATCCCCAAAACTACTGTAAACTCTCAGGACAAAGAGTTGATTTTACTTAAATCTCTATACACCAATCATCTTACTGTTCATCCAAAATCAAAAACATCCTACCTATTGTTTAAGTTCCGAACCACGTTATCTACCCAACAATTGTTTCTCCTTTTTCCACACTCTCAAGTGGGCCTCTTGACTTACTTTAACCTTTGCCACTCCCCTTTCACAAGACAGAATGATTGAATCGAAGAAGAGTGTGTGTTAGCCTGTCTTCAGACGAGATTGCCATAAGGTGCATAGCATTAAAATGAACAGGTTATATAATTTTGAGGAACTCATTTGAATGTGTTGAAAGTAATCTTTTTGTAGTAATATTATATGACATTTAGGGAAGGAGTTATGGCTGCTCGTGTAGTTTATAGTATAAGTGCCAAAATAAACTTGTCAAGACTGGAAACAACGATGTTTTGTAGTAGTAAGACCGCAGCTCCAACCGAAAAGTCGCTGATGGCTCCATGCCTGCAGAGAGGAGGCACCTACTTCCATCCAATCGCAAACAGAGAAGCAATTTTTTGGGTACTTTCCAGTGGTAAAGTAGTCCCAGATTGACAGCAAGAACTGGGGATTTACTTTAAACTATACTACAGTCTTCAGAGATGAGTGCAAAAGGAATGGATGGCTTTGCTGTGTACATGTCAAAGGTGTACAAAGTGCACAAGCATCCATGCATACAAGCACACCCTGCTGCCAAGCCATAGGTTTGTTAGTTTATGTGCTTTAGCGTTTTGCTGTCTCCACATGCCAGTGTTGGGTGTGGTTGTCCCTTCACCCTGAGATGACATGAAGACCAGTAGGCAAATTCAACGGGTTTAGTCGTACTGCAGGTTGAGAAACGCGCTGGATCCTGCTCTCCCTCTAGTTCGGCGAGTGTGTGTAAAAAGGCAGACACACCCAACTTTCCATTTCTTTGGCATTTTCCTGAATAAATTCACCCCCAGGCACTCTGACACACACAGCCGCTTCAGTCCAGCTCATGACCGTTTTAGGGAAGATTAGTGTTCTTGTTTGATTCTGCAGCGAAGGGCAGATGATGGAATCTGAACATAATAAGTCATGATTATAATTCATTCCTTTTTTCATTCAGCTATTCATGCATTCTCTGTAACAGTCTTTTCAGGGTCATAGTGAGCTGGAAACAATCCCAGCATGTAATGAGCGGAAGGCAGGGAAATGACTGAAACTATTTGCTCGTCTAGTGCAGGGCTCTGTTATTATCCTCACTTAGTTTTGTGATTTCTTCTCCAAACAGATTTAGTCAACCTGGTTGCTGGTGTAAAGGATGCCATTGGTATTAAGCAAGATGAGGACACATCGTTCCCTGTGAAGATCCAGGGGGCAGGAGTAGAGCCATTTGAGCTGCAGGTATAAAACCAGACTCTCTACTCACTCTTATTCTCTCTTCTGGTAATAATAAGATTTCACAAGTAATGGAAACCAACAGTGATAGCTGAGACCACATACTGATAACAATTCATCATCTTAATCTAGTGTTTATCTGTAATTGTAACCTTACATTGCATGTATCAGTATATGTGTATACAGACATGCAGTACATACATGTATATGTATGTCTTTGTAGGTTCGCGGATTTTGGCTTGTCCAAGATGCAGTAATGACACTGCTTTCGAGGGATGAGGTGTGTCCACGTTCCAACCTGTCACTGGCACTCGCTGGTACGAATTTGGACCCCCATGCAGAACTGCAAAGCCTCAAGGGGCTTAAACCAGGAGCCATTCTTCGCCTTGTGGAAGGTAGCATTATTTTAGTTCAGATTTATTTACAATCTACATTTGTAGCTTAAGTTTTATTAATAGATGAATTGTCAGAATAAATGAATTGGCCTTTGGGTTCATGCTTGTCTTTTATAACTCAGATAATGTATTGAATATTCTTTCAAAGATTTTAATAGCATACCTATGTACTCTGTGATCTAATCTTACTAATGATGATTCAGATTATACATCATTAAGCAGTTGTCTGGCCTCTCACATGTCCATTTATGTGTCTACATATCTAGGGGTGGTTGTTGCTATAATAGGTAATTATAGAATATCAGAATAATCCAATTCACATTTTCGTCACACCTGTCAGCCTTTCCCTTTCACACACACACAAACTCAATTAAACTTCTCTCAGCTCTATGTAAATAGCTTACTCACCTTTTCTGAGTCATCATAACAAGGATTATAGTTAAAGATTTTACAACTGCGTGCCAACCAATTAGTATGTCTCAAACAGTCAGCTGTTGACATACTGAAACAACCTACAGCCCATCTGTTATTTTGTACAGTATGTACCCAGTCAGATTTGTGTCTGAGCACTGATTCATTAATACTCAGTGGGCCCAATTTACTAACATCCAGAATAAAGGGAATATTATTGTATTTCAATACATTGGATATAGAATAATATAATATTGTTAATTTCTCTATGTTTTCTTTCATTACGGCTGTGTCTCCTTCTGGCAACAATAACAGCAGCCATCTCTGCGCAACACTTGGCGGTTTGCACCTTCCTTTCAAATGTATTAAACACAGATGCTGTTGCACCCACATAAAATTGCGTTTAGGCTTGGTAGATCACATTGAGTGTAGTAAATAAATGTATTTGCATGTTACATTGCTCCCATTACTTTGCACAATAAAATGAAACGCCCCAAATTGCATATTCGTTAAGGCAAAAGTAGGACCTATCTTTTACTTTGGAAAGACATCATTCTGCGTGCATACCATTAGTTGATCAGCTAATGTGTTAATTTGCTGGTGATTCACACGTTTTTACTCACGCAAACCTTTAGTAAATCAGGAGCTGTGTGTTATTAGACTTAAAAATACAACTTTGAACATAAATATAAACACTCCAATAAAACATCTTAGAGTCTTTGTCCTGTGCATTCAGGCTAAGAGTTCTCAAGAGAGTTGTTATTCACAGTTTCATAAAGGTCTTTGTAACGCTGTGTGTCTGTCCAGAACCCTACACCGCCCGCTCTGCGAGGGTCCATCTGGCTCGTGTGCTGGAGCTGCTGAGAGCGTCAGGACCTCAGGATGCACTGAGAGAAGGACGCTCGCCAAGCGTACTGGAGACACTCACACATACACTAACCGCAGGTACACACACATACCGTGCACTTAAACAAAAGGATAATACAAAGATTCAAAATCATGCTCACACTGAGATCTCCTTTTATTACTTGTGCAGACCCAAGCCCACCGAATGGAAAGAGCCTGAAACGTTCTTTAAGCAACACAAAAACAGAAACAACCACCCAGGATGGAGCTCTTCCTGAGTACATCCTCCCTGGTTCCTCAGAGAGACCAGTTATGGCCCTACTACCACAGAGCTCCCAACAACAGGTACGTAATTACCTGGAATCTTGTTTTACACTGGCCAGCCATGTACACAGACACAATGACTCTTTGTGACGTTATATTTGTTTTATCAGGCCCCCAGCTATCTGAGGGACCTGTCTCTCAGCTGCTGGAACCCGCCTCCAGGACACAGGAAGCTGCAGGGAGACTTCCTGTACATCACCGTGGTGACTATGGAGGGACGACGGTGTGACATCACGTCCTGTCCAAAAGGTTTCTTTCTCAATAGGTAAAAAAGTTACTTTGTGATAGAAAGTCTGTTTATGATTGCAGTAAATTGTAGTAGAAAATGTATGAAAGGCTAACAATGTACTCAGCTGTTTTATCTCCATTCTGTCTGAGTCGCCTGCTTTATAAAATAATTGAACTTTAACTCGTTTCACTTTAATTATGAATAATTTGTTTCTCCCATCTTCTTCATCTCAGGTCTACAGAAGATGTGTTTGATCCTCGTCCTGCGCAGTCTTCCCCAATTTGTCACTGTTTGACTGACCTGCTCTGTCACATCAGCCCTGCCTTCAAACAAACCTCTTCCACTATAATCAAAAACAGGTAACATTATTACCTATTCTTAAAGTGAAGCGTGAATACTATACTGGTTGGGGCTGGGGCCTTTCTTTGTGGAGTTTGCATGTTGTCCCTGTGTCTGCGTGGGTTTCCTCCGGGTGCCCCGGCTTCCTCCCACAGTCCAAAAACATGCAGGTCAGTTGGTGACTCATTGCCTGTGAATGTGAGCGTGAATGGTCTCTATGTGTCAGCCCTGTGTTGAACTGGCGACCTGTCCAGGGTGTACCCAGTGTACTCAGCGGGGGATCAGCTCCAGCCCCCCCACGACCCCCTGAAGGATGAGTGTTTATAGACAATGGATGGATGGATGAATACTATAGTATTTTGTCCTAACAGGGGTTTTGCTGAGAGTGTATACCCCAACTTTAAATCTTTATTTTCAAAATAACTGATATTGTAAACTGCTGCGTTAAAAATGACTAAGTGAAGTGGGTTTTGGGTAATGCAGATTGTTCTCTTTCTTCCTTTAGGCCTCAGTTATCTCCAGTAGAGGTGATGCCCACTCCTTACCACACGCTGAGCTGGCTCGGGCCTCCCTGTGCCTCTCGGACCCACAAAAACACCTTCACCAGACTGGGAGTGGACGAACAGCCAGCAACACAGGTTATTTACAACTCAGTATAATTCTTCATTGCTATTCGTTGAGTGGTGTGCTGCTGGCAGTGATTTTAAGTGTAACCATGTGTTGTATGCGTAGGCTCCAGACTGGAATGAAGAGTTGCAGGCAGCCAGAGATCTTCCAATAGGCAATCTGGAGGAGAGGCTACAGAGAGACAGATCTCTGCTCCAGGTAACCAAGAAAAGCGGCAATGTAGCTCAAAACAAAAGCAGGACTCTATCACCCGTTTTCTTTCTTTGTTTAATCAACTTCCTCTCACCATCATTCATACCTGTTTCCTCAGGTAAACAGTGCGTTTGTTAGGGCTGTGATGCAGGGGACAGAGACTGTCGTAGACGGCTTTGTAGAGCCAGTGCCTGGAAACCCTGAGGACCCAGCTTTTCTGTGGGGCGGCCTGTTCATGAGCCAGGGGGCCGCAAGTGCAGTGTTTGGTGGGGAAAGGGGTCGCAGGTGAGTTCACAGACAAGATCCTACTGATGTAAAGCCATTTGCTCTTATTGTGTTATGGCTGTAGATGAATCACAAAATACACTGTGGCCTCCTGCAGGGTCCTGATTAAAAGTAGCTTTTGTTTCGCTTTTAGAATAGCATTGTTTTGGTACCGAGTATTTAGATGTTTCCTCATCTTCTACTTGCAGGGCTGCTCAGAGACTGGAACTTAAAGGAGTACAGGCCTATAGTGATATAGAGGGGCTACAGGGACTGCACACTCTACCTACAGCCATTGTAGACTACAGAGGAGTGCGTCTATCTGCTCAGGGTCTGGCCCCTGGCTTGGAAGGCTCAGAGCAGGACCAGGGAGCTGCCTCAAGGTACACCCTGTGGACCCATTATTTAACAGTCCACTGTGCTGTCACACTGGGGGGGGGGGGGGGGCTAATTAACTAGCTAATTGACTTTCTTCTTTCTTCTTATTCTGCTCTGTAGAGGCTTGCTGTACGGGGTAAATGCAGGACCCCAAGAGTCCCCCCACCGTAGACGGCTACTACAGCTCTTGGCTCACGCTGCCAAGTGTCTTTGTATCCAGAGACATGTTGTTTTGACTCCCAACAGTCACCAGGTACCCCTGTTCACCTCAGTGGACGCACAGGGTCTGTTGGGGGCTGATGGGAGGTTCTACATACTGGATGTGTTCAGGAGCTTCCCAGCTGATGCCAACTTCTGTCCAGAGGTTGAGACAGAAAGTCAGCCAGTCACTGGAGAAGAGGAGACTAATGAAAGCTGTTTAGAAGATGAAGAAACGAAGGGTTGTGCAACAGAAGGTTGGCCAGAGAATTATCACTCAGACTCTGGGCTTCCAAAGAGTTTTCCTCATGGACTCTGTAGACTGAGGCCAGAGCTGGTTCAGGCCTTTATCCAACACAAGTGAGTTCTACATGAAAGGAAACACTTTTAAACCTCAGCTTATAATGCTTTTTGCTGAAGTTGAAGTTTTGCTTTTGTGCTCCTTTTCAGACACTGCCAGTTCTCCCAGCGTGTCAGGGAGGTGTTTGGTGAGAACGGAGGCTTTGTAGAATGTGCAACAGCTTGTAAGAAGTGTTTTTGTAGATCTAATTGAATGACATCCAAAAGCTTTGTTAATACATTTGGCCATTTTATACTTGACAAATGTTTGTATTCTTGCAGGCGACTCTCGAGCCACAAATGCAGTACGGGCTGCTTGTAAAGAAGTGGGCTCAGTTAGTGACATCATCTTTGAGATGCGCTTTAACACAAGTGTCTTCTGTCCAGGTACACTGACAAACTAAACACACACACTAACAAACACAAATATTTTTCTAGAACACATTATGCAAGGCTTTTGTGCATTGTGTTCAGGAGTAACCTTCCCCCCCAGTGAAAGTACGTCAATAAAGCTGCAGGAGAGGTTACAGAGGGAAGCGGCAGCTTTCATCCTCACACATCAGATTCCAGCCTTTGTAAGTGGATCCACTGTTTACAAACTAAAATGGGCACATTTACTGCAAACATGGCACAAGCTCAGCTGTGTGTGTGTGTGTGTGTGTGTGTGTGTGTGTGTAGGTGGAGTATTGCCTACACAGTAATGAGGCACCAATGGATGGAGCTTCCCTAAAACTGGCGCTACACCAGAGAGGCATCAATCTCCGGTATCTGGGCTATGTGATCAAAACCATCAGCCAGTCAGAACACAAGGAGCGCCTGAGGCACATAATGGTTTGTCTGATTTATAAAATAATCAAACTTAACCTAGTCTTGAGGATATAATCACTCTGCTAACTGTGCTCCCTAACAACCCTCTTTCCTTCTTAACCAGAGATCGGTCATAGGTGAAATTTTCATCCGATCAGCAAGGAGAGTGTTCAACAGTTTCATTCAGGTACTTCACAGTATTCTGTAATGAACTTTCCTATTCATTCTTGTGTTTGCACACCTCAGTGTTAAGTGATTAAATAGCAGCAGGTGTGGGTCCTTGCACCCCAGAAAGAATGAACTGCAGCCTCCGGGTTATGTCTTTGCAGGGTGTGGACGTGCCTACTCTCGCTGCAGCTGTCAGTCACTTCCTCTGCTGCCTGTTGGTTCCCCACTTCACGCCCACCGCTGTGGGGGAGGACACTAAAAAGAAGTCAAGGCGGCGCGGCAGAGGGGCTGGGCCCTCTGAAAGCTCGCCCTGGAGCACGCTCACAGGGGCTGAGTTGTGGAACCTGGTCTGCCAGGATGCTGTTGAAACATATAACATCTCTGACAGCCTCGGGTAAGGACTGCTCTCATTTCATGATTGCTAGTTATGGCTCAGAGGTCATTTTGGAATAACTGAGAGTTTTCTTTGTAACAGCTCTGGTCTGAACCACATGGTGGAGCACTATGGCCTTCAGAGGATCTCTTTGCTTAGAGAGTTCTGTTTAAAGACTGGAGTACAGGTAACAGACAAATAGAGATTCGTTGTGTTATTAGCCTTCAAATATAGTCACTAAATTAACTGAAAAACATATACAGCATATTAGTAATGGTTTAAAATAGTTGCAATTGCAAAATTAGGTGCCAGATAAAAAAAGATGCTTTGTAATAACAGGAAAAGTATTTTGTTAATTCTGTGTCTACGCTAGTTGAGATTGAGAGACTACTTACTCGACAACCAAAATAAAGCTCCCATTGGTCCAGACGACGTCCTCAACATCTTCCCTCTCGTCAAGTACATTCACATGCCAACTGTGGATGCTTCAAAAGCATATCATGCTGCACAGAACTCCCTCCAGAAAGGTGGGCCAATAAAGCAGTAAATAATAATAATAATAGTAATAAAAGTAAATTCTGTGCGAAACTATCGTGTATTTTCCAACTGCAGGCCTGCTGGACCAGGCCCACGAGCACCTGAAAGAAGCGGCCTACTTGTTTGGCAGGGTGTGTGATGACTTACACCCCGAGGCCTGTTATTGCCACAACCTGTTGGCCAAGGTGGCCTTCCTGCAGGGGAAGGCAGCTGAGGTACACTTACTGCTCCACAACTGTTTACAGCTACCTTAACACATTTTGCACCGGTAGAGAGTAACCAAATACATTTCCTCTAGTACTGTACAGAACCCCATATTGAGGTACTTTATAACTTGTCCACTGCATTTAAAAGGGAAGTATTGTACTTTTTACTCTGCTACTTATTTCCGACAGCTTAGTTACAAGTTACTTTGCAGATTTTACAAACAAAACAATTCAATTTCAACTGCCATAACATGTTGAAAGGGGCTGTATTATGAGTGTTTACTTTTCATACTTGTATTATATTTTAATAATATTTCTGAACTAGAAACTATTTTGAAGTAGTGAAAGTACGTCTTCCACTATTCTACTTTGTGTATCAGAGTGTACTGTAACACGCTGGAAAAGGCTAAAGTGTTTCAGGAGGTACTGAAGGAATTGTAACTTTTAATGTGCATGAAGCTGGCCATTAATTCTTGTCATCACTGTGACTTCCTCTGTTCTCAAGGCTCGCAGTGTCCAGCAGAAAGCAGTGGTCATCAGTGAGAGAGTGCTTGGCTTTGACAATCCAAACACTATTCAGCAATATGTGAGTGTAGCTACACATTTGTAATTTTTTCATTACTAAGTTGGACGTACCTCTACTGGCAATGGAACCTCGGATCACTGTAGAGATATGAACTGTATCCCTGGATCCATACACATTTGTATCTATTTATTTTTTTAGCAAGTATGCACTGTGTCGTGTGTAGGGATGATTATTAAAATGATGTTGTTATATCTAGGCTCTCTTGGGTGTGTATGTGTTTGCTGGAGGGGAGACTGCCCTGGCCCAGAAGTGTTTCCTCAGAGCTCGTCTGCTAATGCTAACAGTCCACGGAGAGGACCATCCCTACACCGCAACATTGGATGTAGGTTACAACACCTTGGTGTTCACCCCAAGCACAAAAGCCTTTTCACAATATCTTTATAACAAATATTTACTTTTTGACACTGACAATCCTCTCATTGCTCTCCTGTAGAGCTGCCTTGGTCTGGTGCTGACAGGAGATCAGAGAGGGCAGTTCTTAAAGAATGCCCTAAGACTCAACACTTCCTTCTTTGGCCCCACGGATCTGCACACTGCTCTCAAGTAAGATGCCCTCTATAGCTTGCTATCATCAATTGTATAAAAAGTAAATCTATTTTTTCCCCTTTTCTAACATCACCACCATTTCTCAACCTGGTTTCTCATCTGTGCAGTCAGCACCTGTTGGCCCAGTGGATGTGCAGCAAGGGCGACTACCGAAGTGCTATGACCCACGAGAAAGAGGCCCTCACTGCTTTTACCTCCTTGGTCAGTATCTCTGCAGAGAAACAGCCAGAGCCAGATAAGTGGATTGGTCATGTGTGTCATCTCATGGTTATTTTCTCCCTCAGTTTGGAGAGGATCACTCTCAGACACGCTGCAGCAAAGACTTTCTGTGCACCATCACCCAGCAAGCAGTGAAGGTGGAGCGCTCTCTCAGACAGACTGGAGCTGAATGCACAGAGCAAACAGTGGAGGTATGTGCGGGAGCTCATGTGGTTTCTGATACCATTAAACTCCATGAATCTTACAAAGAAAAAGCGTGTTTATTAATCACCCCGTCCTCTCTGCCATCAGTGTCTAACTGCCTCGCATGAGACTGTGCTGGAGCAAATGGTTCTGGTGACAGGGATCAGGAGGATTACACAAAGGTAAATATTCACTGTCATGACATGACAATGTGTCATGTCATATGCCTAACAAATGTCATTTCTGAAGCTGAGACGGATATCAAAATCTTAAACACATTCTTGATAACTTAGATTTGTTTATTTAAAGAATTGGTACCAAGATGTTAGTGATACTGTTTGACACACATTTTGGCATTTATTTACCGTAATGTTACTTATCATCCAAAAATACTACTGCATCTCTGATGAGCAAAATCGGACAATATTTATCAGTCTAGCTCTGAAAGTACCATAAATTCCCCCAAATAATGATACTATAGGCGATATAACACTCTAAAATGGGACATTATGTTTGGTTCTCCAGGATGTCTTCTTGTGATTCTTCTCCAAGGTGAAAACTATCAAAAAAAGCAAATAGTAAAAAATAATTTGATCTTTAAAGCAGTCAGTGATGTAAATCTCTACCACCTATTACTGCTGTTACAAAATCGTAAGAAAAAGGTTTAAAATGAAGCTCAGGTACTAATAACTATAATAAATCTCAGATCACCTTTTTACACACAACTGGCTCCAGCAGCATGCATGCACATTTGAATAATTGTTCTGTTAGGTAGGAATCCACTCATGTTTTCATTGTGTTTTCATAGTGACAGGCTCCAGGAGTATAAGAAGAAACACCTTGAACTAAAGGCAGCGGTGGCTAAAGAACTGGGATTCAATATAACTAGCGAGTTCGTCGCCTCCAAGACTGTGAACGGGGGACAGAATAGCTCAGATCAAGACGCAGGATGCGGGAAGGAAGCTGAGGATGAAGGAAGCCCAGCAGTGGAGAATGCCAGCGAGAGCCAACAGGAGCAGCTGGGGGAAGAGAGTGCTGCCATAGTTTCAGCTAATGGTCATGTGGTGGAGCCGGTAGAACATAACCAGCATGAGGAGAAAACGGATGTAGATGAGGGAGACAGTGAGGACGGTGACCGAACAGCTTCAGATGCTGAGGTAAAGATAGTGAACGGAGAGTCAGAGGTCAGAGAGAACAGCACAGCCAATGGGGAGATAAAAGGTGATGTAACAGCTGATGAGACGAAGTCAGAGTCAAATGGGGTTAAAGGTGAAATAAATGGTGCATTGGACATTGCTGCCAGCCCACCAGTCCTTAAGAGTAAAGGAACCTGGGCTGATGTTGTCTCAAAAACTGCCATGGCCAATGGAACAGGACACAAAGACACAGTAGCAGTCAATGGAGTCGCACATAGTGTCACTGCTAATGGAGTAGCTGAAAAGTAAAAATGTATTAAAGAGGAAAAACAGCGTTGTAGTCTAGTATTTCCAAGCCACTGCTGTAAATTAATCCTCTCCCAGGATCCTAGATGTAATTAGATCCAGTGAACATGAAGCAGAGCATAAGATGACAGAGTCAGATGAGCATTACTGTGTGTTAGAGATGTTATTGCTGGTGCTGGGGGAGGGTTGTACTGTAATAGAGTGCTGTTGTGTTTTTTTTTTCTTCCAATAAAAGGTTTTTACTCTGGTTTACCAGTGATCTTGGTTTTGCATTGGTACATACAACATATACACGCTTGCTAAAATGATGTGAAGGTGTGATTCTATTGATCAACAACTCCTGATTCAAATACAACCAATCAATCTAAACAAATAAAAATCATTGACCTTTCAATGATAAACAGCACAAAAGGGGAAGATCATGCTCTAAAAATATATTTTTAATAAATATAATATAAAACTGTTATCAAATAGTACTATGTATTGTAGGTTGTACAAAAAAACACGTTCAGGATTTACCAAACACCTGATGTGCCCAGAAGACCTCGGCTGGAGAATCATCTAAATGTAAAGAACTACACCTGTGTTTCCTCCCCCCCCTATTTTCTAAGATAGATTTTTGTACATTACTACCAATCACTTTACAAAACATACCATAGTTGTTTTTTTTCCCCATCTTCCAGCCACTGATATGGTCCACGGTAAGACATCAGTGGAAATCTGCACAGCGACCAAACTTGCTTAAGATATGAAAACCGTCATATACTTAGTTGATGATGAACAATGAGAAAGTTTTGGTAATCCAGAAATGTGCATGTCCCACCTGTTGAACAATGTAGCATTCACTGATTTTTGTTTTCAGGAAACAAATCACACGAGCAGACATAGATGTTGTGACATGCTAAGCTAATTCTTCTTGTCCGCTTCTTGTATTACAAAGGCTGTTTTCTGTAGCCAACTCTTAAATCTTGACTGTTGGTGCTTCCCCTCAACACTTCACTTTGAAAAAACACAAAACAGCTCACCGGTGAAAAGTTTCAAATCTGAATCTCTGAGCACACCCAGCGTCAGTGATGGGTGTGGCTGGGTGCGGCCAGAAATGTGCTTTATCTCTAGCGGCCCCTACTTATCTACGGTCTGTGAACCATACGAAACAGTGATGTCACATGGAGTACACTCGTACCTCACTGCAGCAAGGTGAGAAATTAAACCACTGGTCAGCAAAACCAAGATTTTCACAACTGGTCCAAGATGCTCAGCAGTCCCTTTTCTTCTCCATTAAGGCTTTGAGACAAACTACCACAGTGGTGGCTCACTAGAATTGCACAACTCAATCCTCAATTTGAAGGAGGAGTTTATTTAATTAAAAACTGCTCATATTAGTGCCAACAATAAAAAAAAATACAATACATACAGTCAATTTCTTGTTCATCTCCTGTCTCTGCTCTGTGTTTCCCTCTCAATAATCTCCAAATCAGGGCAGTGTCCGTACTGTGGTTCAGGTGGCTCTACCCATGTGGATTGTGGGAGTCCGTCAAGATTGCTGGTAGGAAAGGTGATAACGGCCGTGTCACTGAAAACGTCAATCAGACGGGATGGACAGGGCAGCGGTCTCTCCTCACACACACAGACAGCCTGCGTAATGTAGCCGTAGTCCCGCTTGAACTCTCTCTCGATTGTCCTGTTGGGACGACAGACAGGAAACGTCACCTCACGTCTCAGTTTCTTAAACATTGTCTCCCATGTCTTCATGTCTTGCACTAACCTGTCCCTCATGCCGTTGAAACTGTTTCCGATGATTATCATGAGAGGAAGACATTGTGTACTCCAATTCTTCCACAGAAGGTTGTTGTACAGGGCTTTCCCACAATGCATCAGGTAAAAAAGTGTGGGCTTCGTCGCTAGACGCTTCCCCTCCTGCACGATTCAGTGAGACAGAAATCTGATGTTTCAGCACTTATGTTCTACCTTCTGGGCAGACAGCAGAAGCTATGAAACTCAAATTGCAGTGACCTGAAACTTGCATGAGATAAGTCATCTTAGGTTTTGTCAGTGTTTTTTAATTGTATGTTAATCCATTATCTGCATTTAAGAACTAAAAACAACACTCTGACATTTGAGATTTAACAATCTTCCTCCAAAGAGTCTTTTGAATACAATAATCTGCCAGTTTTGTGTCACCTCTTTCCAAAATGTCTGTGTTTTCTTATTGGTTAGAGTTCTGGATCTAATTTACTGACTAGAATGCTTAGAAATGCTTCCTCTTTGGTAGCAGAGTTTCCCACAAGCCTTAAAACCCAGAATGTTAGAGGACTTTACAAAATACCCACATCTCTCATACAGCTCAGATAACAATGACTGAAATTATTAGAAATAATGGATGTCCGAGTTGCCAATTTAGCAGTGCTGTTAAGTATTTGGAATTTGTATTAAATGGGATGAAACACTCAACAACACTTGTACTAACAACTGACCTCATTTTCTGTGAGCACAATCAGACCCAGCTCTCTCAAAACATCCCTCTCACCGGAGGAGAAAGCAGGGTCATAAACAGAGCAGTCCTTAAGGGGAATCTAAAGGGAGCAACACAGAATTTATAACGAACAGGTTTTCATGTAGGGTGTTTGTATTTTCATTGGATAAACATATCCTATCACCTGTCCTGCATCCAGGAGCAACAGCAACAAGGCTAATTGGTAGCGAGCTGAGACACAGGAGGAAAAGGAGCCCAGGCCATAACACACACAGTCCAGCTGTTGGCTTTGTCTGCCATCTCTGCTCAGTGTCTCCTCTGTGTCTTTGTTCTCTGGAGGTTTTAAGAGGGCTCCTGGTCCCGCCACCAGCAGCTGCTCTGGAGACAAGAATCCTATAAGGGTCACTGAGGTGCAAGCTGAATGATTCCACTGCCACACAAAATATTTGGTGTTAACTCCACTAGTCCAGCATACTCACCTTTCCACTCGTGCCAGAATTCCTCGCATCTTAGCTCAGACCTACAGAGGGGGAGGATAATCAAAGTTACAGGGCTCTCTGGAGTTTGTGCATGTGGTGAAAATGTATCCACTTGAAAAACAAAATCTGATATTCCCAGAGTATGCTGCTTAACTTGACTTCTTACACTGTCTCTCTGATTCGTTTAACAGTTTTCCCGATGTCCAGCTGCTCCTGTGGGCTTGTTGAATTTGACGACACCTGAAAGGATTTTGATTTCCGCGCTGCGCCTTTTCGTCGCCGGGCCACCTGCCACTCCTCCCCGGTGTCCGACATTATGCTAATTCACCGGTGTCCCAAGTATACACACAGAAACTTGTGATGAAATGTTAGTTTTATTAACAAAGTTCTAGTTTAAATGCTGCCTCTGTTTGGCGAGTCTGCTGCAAGTGGGACTATTTTGAGTGTCACACAAATTTCCTCTTCCGGTGGTATGCCAATTTTGGGAACCCCTGGTGATGTAACATTTAATCTTGTTTGTTAAATAAATATGTGGTCAGTAAACGGACTATAGACGAGTAACAACGAAGCTGTCTGAAGAACTGAATCAATAGTGTCGAAAATAATTCACTTTTCTAAGTATTTACTAACGTTACATTCAAATGGCTACATCTGCTGGCCAAACTTTGGTATTGCATGTGTATGGTTATGGTTAATGGATGTCTATGGTTATGGATGGAAACCACAATGAAACATTCAAAATATAAGCCTTACTGCTTTCATCTTTAGAATCAAGGGACATTTGTGTTTTGAAATAATAACCTGACAAACACTGTAATGTCGGTTCGCTATGGGGAAAGAGAGGACATTCAATCATTGTGATTGCGGGCTTTTAAAATACTGTTTTGCCGTCTGAATAGCTAGGAATGAAAAAACCAAAAATTATTTTCTATATTGTTTTGTTTTGTGCTGTAACATTGAGACATATTTACATAGACATTTGTGAACAGGGGAAGACATTTTTCGGCGTACAAAATAACACCGGCAGTTACGGAAACAACCGGAAGTACTTGTGTTTTCGTGTGTACAACGAATAAGCTAGCTGACATTAGTTGGATTACCTTTCATTGCAGTCACAGAAGAATGAATGTATACCTGTTCTCCTGGTAAAGGAATAACGACCGTTTAATGTGAGTTAGAGAAAACATATTTGTCATTATTTCCCTACACGCAAGTTTTTCGGGCAAAGCGAACCGTTTAAATTAGCTACCTTTAGCTTTTGCTAGTACATGTTAGCTTTTCTTCACGTTGGATTCACCGCGTCGTCTGTATTCAAAATAAACAAAACGTATTAAAAAAAAAATCTCAATGTACTTACTGGATTTATTCGCGCGAGCTTTCAGACACCTCCTGTAACTTTTATAAGCAGATAGTTTTGTCGGTTTTCCTTTTATCATTTGGAGTTTTTGCAGTACTTCAACCGTCTTGGTATCTTGTGAATTGTGATGTCCACAGATGTCCATGTCACATCTGTATGGGCGGAGAGAGGAGGAGGAGGAAGGTGTGGAGGTGGAGAGCTTTGAGGTGACAGACTGGGACCTGGCCAATGAGTTCAACCCAGACCGCCGCAGACACAGGCAGACCAAGGACCAGGCCACCTATGGCATCTGGGCCGACAGGGACTCGGACGAGGATGAGAGGCCTAGCTTTGGAGGCAAGAAGTAAGGCATGGGTTTATTTTTGTTGCTGCCCCTGTTGTGTTGAAGTCTGTTTCCCTGTGCACAGGCGTTTCCTCTCAATTAAACTTGTTACTAACCCCAATAATCAGTGGTTTGTGTTTTTTCTAGATCTAAAGACTACAGCGCTCCAGTGAACTTTGTGAGTGCTGGTCTGCGTAAGACAGCAGCTGAGGAGAAACAGCAACAGGAAAAAGTAGAAGGAGGCTCTGATGACTCTGATGATGACGGCCCTTCAGCACCTCCCCCTGCTCGTGGCACTGCACCCAAAAAACTCCAGATGGTACATTTTGTTGTGCGAATGTCCTAACCCATTGCAGTGTATTCTGTAACAGTGTTTTGTCTGAAACAAATTGTTTTTATTTTACTTAGGGTACTTTCCGGGGGAACCAGTCCCAGAGGTTTGCAGGTGGCATACAGTCTGGTAAAGGCATTGGTAACTGGGAGAAGCACACAAAGGGAATTGGACAGAAACTTCTGCAGAAGATGGGCTACCAACCAGGCAAAGGCCTGGGCAAGAATGCGCAAGGTGGGTAGGCGTGAGGAGGCTATGTTACTGAGTTGTGTGTTTTACAGGAGCAACAGAGTGGAGCAGATATATTCTGACCTTGCACCCTCGTATTGCTGCAGGTATTGTAAACCCCATTGAGGCAAAGGTTCGTAAAGGCAAGGGAGCAGTGGGTGCTTATGGCAATGAGCGAACCCAACAGAGTCTTCAGGATTTCCCTGTGGTTGACTCAGAGGAAGAGGAGGAAAAGGTAGAGATTTTTTAGCCTCTTTTTTCAGCTACACCCACTGTCGGATATAGCAGAAGTGGCATCGTAGAGTCAGTCCACATTATTTTAACATTATTGTTCATTTCTGTCTGTGTAGGAGTTTCAGAAGGAGCTAGGCCAGTGGCGTAAGGATCCTGCAGGCCCTGGAGGAAAGAAGAAACCCAAGTACTCCTACAGAACTGTAGATGAGCTGAAGGCTAAAGGCAAACTGGCAGGGCGCAGTACAGCGTCATCCGCTGGAGAGTTGGCACAGGTCAAGGTGTGTTTGAAAAGACTTGCATCTACACTACTCCTTTGCATCTGTGTCACAGGAATGGGGGGCACTATGGCTTTCTCCTTGAATTAGGCTGTAATGTTGTAATAAGCATCTGAAACTTAAGTTAATTGTACTTTTACACTTCGTACAAGCCCCTGTGTATGGAATCGAAAGTAAGCAGCACATGTTCAGCTCTCATTTTTGTCCAACAGTTTCATTTACCCCATATCTCTTCACATCTCTAGGTAATAGATATGACTGGAAGAGAGCAAAAGGTATATTACAGTTACAGTCAGATGTCCAACAAACACAGTGTTCCAGATGAAGGTCCACCAAGCATGTCCACCCAGGATCAGAAGGGATCCAGCTTTTCTCTCCCTGAACTCGAACATAACCTGCAGCTTCTGATAGACCTTACAGAACAGGACATATTACAGGTATGAGGGAACCAAAAATATCTGTCAGATGTCCATGTCAGGGATGAAGGTGTCTTTCTGCATCAGCCACCTGAGGCTTGTTTTTTGTTGTTGTGGTTTTCTAAGTACCACTCTGCTACTTCTTCTTCTACTGCATACTGACACGTTTTCTCGTTTTTTATAATAACAATAATCTTTATTTGTAGAGCACTTTTCAAAAACAAGTTACAAAGTGCTTTAACAAGTGTAAAGAAAATAATACCCAAGAGACAATAATACAAAAACTAAATTTTTTAATCTTATTACTCCCTCCTGTAGTCAGCCAGACGTCTGCAGCATGAAAAAGATGTAGTTGTGTCTCTGAGCCATGAGTCACGAGCACTGCAGAGCAGACTGGATGCAGAGCAAGATGCCATCCAGAGAATGGAGGCCGTTCTTGCATTGGTGGAGCGTTTTCCTTCTGGGGAGATGGCACCGGGGGAGGGACCCACCCTGCAGGTGAATATACAGTGAACACACACAGACTAACAGCCACACTTAGCAGGCTGTTTCAGTTTGTCAGTCCTTGCTCAGTTATCACATCCGCATAGGTAAATGTTTTGGCGCCTTCCTTCTCTTTCTTCAGGAGTGTGCTCGCATCTTTGAGACTTTACAAACAGACTATTATGAAGAATACAAGACAATGGGATTGGCAGACCTGGCTGTAGCCGTTGTTCAGCCGTTACTCAAAGAGAGACTTCGTTCCTGGGACCCTCTAAAGGTATGCTTGTGCAATTATTTTCTTTTGAAGTCACTACATACTCATTGTTTGCTTCAATAGTATAGCTTCCACTTCTCAGACCATTTTCTGATTATTTCAGGACAGCTCTTATTGTCTGGAAGACATCGGTCAGTGGAGAGCAATTCTTGAATCTAGAGACCTACACTCCAATGCCCCAGATTCAAACATGGACCCTTACCACAGGTCATTTTAAACACACAAACATAAATTAAGCCATGCTCACTTGTTTACATGTATTTACCTGTTTGGAGTGTATGTGTTTCTAACATGCTGTCTTTGTGGGTCCAGAATTTTGTGGGAAGTGTGGATAACAGTGATGCGGTCCTGTGTGTCAAGCTGGCAGCCTCGTATGGTAGGGCCAATGGTGGACTGTGTGGAAGTGTGGGCTCCTCTACTCCCTTTGTGGATCCTGGATCACTTGTTGGAGCAGCTGATCTTACCCCGGCTACAACGCGAGGCAAGTCGCACACACTGTCTCCACTTAAAGACACGCTTAGATGTAGACAGACTTTAATTGTTTTGATCATTTCACATAATTTATTTGTTGATAATTGCTTTAAACATTGCAGTTCATTTTTTGTTTCCCGTTTGGTAGGTGGATAACTGGAACCCTTTAACTGACACAGTGCCCATCCACTCCTGGATCCATCCTTGGCTGCCTCTGCTCCAGTCCCGTCTAGAGCCTCTTTACCCTCCAATCAGGAGCAAACTGTCCAATGCCTTGCAGCGGTGGCATCCTAGCGACACTTCAGCCCGCCTCATCTTGCAGCCGTGGAAAGACGTTTTCACGCCAGGTGCATGGGAGGCCTTCATGGTGAAAAACATCATCCCTAAACTAGGTATGGCTTCATTAGTGAAGACCTTATGTATGCCATAGCAGTGAAAGAAAATGTATTTCTCTGCAGTCTAACTCCATCTCTCCTTTTCTCACTGGTTTCTCTTCTTCATGTGATGGCCTCTGTGCCCCCCCCCCTTAGCTCTGTGTCTGGAAGAGCTGGTTATCAACCCTCACCAGCAGCAGATGGAGCCATTTCACTGGGTAATGGACTGGGAGGGCATGTTGTCCCCCTCCAGCCTTGTGTCCCTGCTGGACAAAAACTTCTTCACAAAGTGGTTGCAGGTCAGTAACTATAACACAGAAAATTGTGTACAGAACAGAAAGTAGTTAAGATGCATTTAGCTGTAATATGTAGTTGGGTACATTTAAGTATATACATAATTTTGTTAGGTTAATGTCACTTGTTGTTATGTCTGTTTGTGTTTTGTTTTTATAGGTCCTGTGTTCATGGTTGAGCAACAGTCCTAACTATGAGGAAATCACTAAATGGTACCTGGGTTGGAAAAGCATGTTTAGTGATGTCTTGTTGGCACAGCCGCTCATTAAAGACAAATTCAATGAAGCTTTGGACATCATGAACCGTGCAGTGTCTTCGGGCATGGGTTGGTATTACACACATGAAAACTATAGAACAGCATGAAATGTATATATATGATAATTTAGCCCT